CAAATGAGAAATATGAGGTATGGAAAGATTAAGTAAATCACTCCAGTTCGTACAGCTGGTAAGTAGCTGAGCTGTGTTTTCAACCCAAGTAGTCTAGTTCTAATCTTTGCTCTAAATCACTACGTTATAATATCATTAAGTTATTTCCCCTCCAACCACCTTAATGCTAATTCATCTTATTAAAATACTTAAAGTATTTACATTTAATGAAAGAGAAAACTGATCCGTTACCAAGTTATAGCTATTACTATAACTATAATGGCAGGAGTTACTTATTGTTATCAATCTTAATTCACCAACAAAAATGGTAAATCGTTACAGCACCAACTCGTTCTCCAAGATGTTAAATATGTTAAACATATTCTAATTATATGATTTAGAGTTATTTTAAGAAAACCCTCAGGGTAGTCTTAACCCTAAGTAAGGCTAACTAATTCTTTACAGTTTAATACCAGTTAAAAGGTGTCTAAAAGCACGTTCCAAATCACAGTGTAACAAAAAAGTACATACAAATTGACACGTAAACAACAAATTATTACTAATAAAAAAACAACAACCGAAAGCTTCATGCCAGCTAAAGATTCTGGAATCTGTGGCACTTTATAAAGGGCTCCGATTTCACACAATTTCAGAATCCCTGATGCCAAGAAAATATTGTGAGAAATAAGCCCCACTAGCACTTTCCCAATAAAATAATCCCATGATAACATTAATCCCATCCTGACTTCAACGCATTAAGTTTTTAAAGAAGACAAAGCACACCCTGACAGAGGTCTTTAAAACAGAGAAAATATTAATGAATATCCTTTCACAACTCATGTGCTTCCTAATTATTTTTGAGAGAAAATGCACTTAGTTAGCAAGAGCAGTATAAAACCATGCTTTGTGCAATACCTAGCAAATAACTGATGTTCAGTTTGCTATAATTCATCAGTAAATGGATTAAACCAAAGCTCCCATTTCTATTTGTTCTCTAACTTACTGTGGGAAGTCTTTTTCCTACACCCCATCTGCCTCATCTTGTAGCTCTTGAAGCTCTACAACAACTGAAACACCCACAGCCCCCTTAATAGTATTAAAACTTGTTAAAACTGAAATAGTCATAACCCCATTTATATTTAACTTATTATGACAAAGAAGACTGAAATTTATCATCCTTCTCCCTTAACTCTCCTACTCATTCTCTGTCTCCCTGCCTACCTAAATTCAAGCCACAGAAACAAGTGGCAACATCTTAGCGGCAACCCTGGTATAGACCCTTTAATACACATTGCAGCATCACATTCAGCCACTGCAATTTCCAAGAAAATATTAAATTCCATGCCTCATAAGAGCATAAACACATTTTTACTACTTAATGGGAGCTAAAAATGAGCTTTGCAGATTAGGGATAGAAAAGGTTTACATTTTTCAGACAACTAAAATTAGACCATTTTGGTATGCAAAAGACATTATGTACCAAATAAAGCAGTAAATTTAACACTAAAAGCCTTCAGCGGGGGAGGGCATTGCTCACAACCGTCTTTCTTTGCATGGCCAGAGTTTCAAGGGCCTCTTCGGGCCTCTTTCAAGTGTTGTTCTGCTTTATCACTGTGATTACCAGGACACCACAATGTGGTGAATAGAAGGCAAGGAGGAGACTGTCATCAATATCTCTAATTTGTCAGTGATGAGACAGAAAATAGAAACAACTGGTTTCTAAGCCAACAAAAGTGAAACGGATGGAAAAACAATTGATATCTGGAAACAGTTCTTTCCCATTACTCCAGGGGCATGAACCACTCTGTAGTGGACATGTGTTTCCAGGAAATCCTATAGAGGAGGTGAGAGAACAAATGCATAACAGAGGCAGAACTAGTCTTCACCAACTCACTTTCTCCCTTTCTTCAGGTCCCCATTTTTTATTCCATGCCACCCCCCTAAACTCAAACTTTAACCTGAAGAGCCAGTAAATGATCAAACTATCTACAGGAGTTAATACTAAGTAGATAGAGATGGTCATTTTGGAAGGAGAAAAAGTTTCTACTGTGATCATATTTTGTTATCTATTACTTCTAGGCTTTACTGATGGTAGGTAAAGTATAAATAACATACAAATGAGTGAATAACTAACACATTTCTAGTCTCTACTACAACCTTGTAACAAGTTAAGAAGATAAGAGAAATATAAATTTGCCAATCTCAACCTACCAATATTCTAATAACACTCCCCAAAGGTGACAAACATAAATCACAGAGTTGGAACATTGCCCTCTGGCATCCACAGAGAAGGTCGCTAGGCATCAAAATTTTTCTTAACCTGGTTGAAACACTATTTTTCTGTGCCACCCTCCCACCATACCTCCCCAAAACCACTTATTAAATATTTTCTTGCATGGTGCTTTTCTGTTCAGTAGGCTAACCAATTCTTTCATTCTCATAAACGATTGCACAAGAGAATTTAAATGCATCCTTTTTAAAAAGATGGAATCTAAGCAAGCCAAGATTAATCATAGCTCAGTGACTTGTTAAAAACAAAGCTTACATTGAATATGACCAGGAAAGCCACTATCTCTTTGTCCTCAAAGAGTCTATATTTCAAGAGTTATGAAAGGACATTATTCAAAAAAGAATAGCTACGTCTTAGGCACACAATCATCTGTGCCAGCATTTGGTCGACAGGTGGCAGGCATTGAATCGAGTTTTATTCTCCAGAAATTTCAATTTTATAAGATTGTTCTTTAAATCTTAACAACCTCTCATTACTTGGAGGGAGAAAATAATCAGACCTAATATCTCTTTTGTAGAAAAAGTTAATGGTTATGGAACTCTACGCCCTGTTTTACAGTCACCTTCTAAATTACAAACACTTCACTTACAACTACTGTTTCCCTAATACTACTGGTAGCACACTGCCTGCTGCCCTGTTCACTCACCACCTATTCTGTACCTCCTGGCAACTTTGGAAGGGCAACTACGCTGTGCTAGGCCAACACTGTCCCCTGGTGGCCACCATGTCAAATTGCCTGACCCTGGTTTTCTCTCTGTGGGAATTCTGTACACTCATTTAGAAGCCACAGCTCAGATACCTCTAGCACCCCCTATATCTTCATTGTCTTTGAAGACCTCCTACTTCCTCTAACTCAGTGATGCTCAGGGCATGGAGCACAAGGAAAGGAGATATGAGAGTCGGGGAAACGTTTAGAAACTGGGTCAGTAAGGAGCAACTTAGTGAAGCATCCTCTCACCCCACCCCTTGAAATCACAATGTGTCAAAAGAAATAGATGTTACTGAAAGGAGAGTTCTTGAAAAGACAAAATCAGAAAATTCTAAACAGCTCTTGAGTAAAGCCCCTTTTATTCTCATCCCTCATCTTCTCCAACAGTAAAGTAAGGTTTACTTGGGTAGTACAGCATCCCTGCAGCTGTACTGAGGCTGAGGTAAATGAATCTTAGGCCTTCCTCTTCATGGTCTGTCACTGGCCTGTATGTTATTATAGAAAAACCACTTACATCTGTATGCCTCACCTCACAAAAGGTCCATTTTCGTATCATACTATTTTCTGTTTACAAAAGTTACTTAGGGCCAGGCACGGTGGCTCACGCCTGTAATCCAGGCACTCTGGGAGGCCGAGGCAGGCAGATAGCTCGAAGTCAGAAGTTCAAAATCAGCCTGAGCAAGAGTGAGACCCTGTCTCTACTATAAATAGAAAGAAATTAATTGGCCAACTAATATATATAGAAAAAATTAGCTGGGCATGGTGGCGCATGCCTGTAGTCCCAGCTACTTGGGAGGCTGAGGCAGGAGGATTGCTTGAGCCCAGGAGTTTGAGGTTGCTGTGAGCTAGGCTGATGCCTCAGCACTCACTCTAACCTGAGCAACAAAGCAAGACTCTGTCTCAAAAAAAAAAAAAAAAAAAAAAGTTACTTAGGATGAAAATGTAATCAATGGGCAGCTGGAGTCCCAGCTTGAGTGTAAAGGGGTCAGACATGCTTAGAAAGATCTGGTAGACTCATGGGTTGAGGTGATCTGGAATCTGTTTGTAGGAGAAACTCAGGTATCTCCAGGAAAGGTACTGACCTGAAAGGAAAAGAAAGACACACAGACACGTTTGCCCAGTCTCCCTCACCCGATTCTGAGGGAGGAGTGACTCTCCATTCTGTATAGAGTTGGTCACTAAGATTTGTTGTTCTCCACCACCACCCTCCAGCACCCCACAGACTCCTATCTGGGTCATAAGGTAAAAGGATTCCAAGAGGAACCGAAAGAAATATTTCTCACAAAAAACCTGTGTGAGGCATCAGGGCAAAAAATATTCCTTCTGTGGTATCTTCTCTGCATAGAAAACAATGTAGCTCTCACACACCAAGAAATTCAGAGAGTGATGGCGCAGCCCAGTTATAGTTCCTTAAGGCTGCATGATTGTGTACAGCTGACAACAGTACTTCTTTGCCATGTTGGGAGCATCCAAAATCCCCTCTGTCATAAATATAAATATATTTAAGGTGGATATACCCTACCCTTGGCCTCAAGCAGGGCGCAGAGACCTCAGTAGATGACCTGCTTCACTAATAAAGCCACGCAAGGGGCCTCTGAGTTGTAGAATCCGTTATGAGAACCTGTGATCCACCTCCAGCCCCAGCCAGGACCTCCCAGAAATAGTGAGAGTATGACTTTGAGAGGAAAGAAAGATCCTACAATTTCAGCTGAGGGTAAGGGCCAGAGCAACACAGATTACACAAAGCTAATGCTACTAACATGAATATTTGAAAAAGTTTCCCTGGATGGAATGTTAAGTATTTTTGTTTTAATGTTTTTCAATTTCCAAGTAAATGGCATGCATGTAATTTCCACTCAAACATTGTCAGGAGTATTAAAATTAAATCACTTATAAACAAGGTCTTGGTCACGATGTGCAATATTCTCCCAGCTTCTTTTTAGTAAAAAATGAAACATTGACACCTTTCCTTTCCCCTCTTTCACTGTCTCTCAACCATGTAAATATATAGTCAATATATACCTAGGATATTAGCAGTACATTGAAGAATTCCTGAGACGTCTTCAATTTCCTCTTTGTTGGAATGGTCTGCATAGGAGCATCTGTTTGAGATATTGTGGAAATTCTTTTCTGCATCCCTATAACTAAGAAGAAAACAAAATTAGCAGGAGAAATTTTTGAACGCATCTGCATATCCACTCATATACACACACAGAGCACACACAGCCTATGCTTCTGACATAATCACATTTTAAAATAACTGAGGCTTTAAGACATAACTCTGGCTTCACCCACCATTCACATCAGCATTAGCAGAACAGACCTGAGTCTGGAGGCTATGTGTGAAAAAAAATTAAGGAAAACCAAAAAAGTACATCAGCTTTGTATAGCTAATTAATATCCCTGTGTAAGCACTTCGTCACTGCTGATCATCTGTCTCTATAAGGAAGTTGCCTAGAAAAACAAAAATCAACAGTACTAATTTGGTGCACTGGCATTCAACTGTGTTGAAAATAAACACATCTTAACCTCTATTACAGTCAAGAAGATAGTAGTATGGTGCATGGATAACAAATAACAAATAAAGTGTTTAGAGTCTGGCAGAATCTGCGTCATAGTCTCACCATTTTCTATCTGCAAGATCTTGGGAAAGTAACCTAATCTCTGTTAGTCTTAACTGTCCTCCCTTACAAAAACGGTGGTGCCTCCTGAGTTCTTGAGGATACACTGCCTGTGTAACTGGATGTTGCCTGGGACTTTCTGAGTTGCCTCTGAATGACAGCTAAGACACCATCAAGGCCACGTGCTCCCACATTCCACAAGAGTAGCCAAGACCAGAGCTCTCGGTCAGGACCTAAGAAGCAACTAAATAAATAGCCACGGCCCTGTCACCCCACCAGCAGCTTATAGAAGCAAAGGCGTTGGGGCACTGGAAGCAGTCAGGGCAGAGCCCATACACACCCCTCACTGAAGGCATCACAGCCAGGGGCGGACCATACAAACATCGGTGAATTAAAGAAGGCTTCTGCCATTTTCCATTTCATTCCTGCCTGACACATCAGAAGAGAAAGGGACCCAGAAAGGAATGGCCTGAAAAAGAAGAGTAAAAACCCGTATCGTACCCTCTCTACATTGCATCCAAGTTCTTCGGGCCAAGGCCTGACCCAGGCAGAGAGAGGGACGTGAGAGTTGGCCTGGATATGAGAGTGAAGATTTAAATTGGTCAGGAGTGGACTTCATAATCCCTGAAAGTACTTAGAAAACAGAGCAATCTGTCCAAGCTAATATCAAAGGGGATTCATCCTAGCATGTCTGGCATGATTGGAGAGAAAAAATAAAATGGTTTCTCTTTGTACACCTCACTGAGATCAGACTCCAATAAACCTAAACAAAACGCTTACCACAGTTTCTAGAATGCAGGAATCAATAACATGTGGAACAGGGAGCACAGACATCAAACACAGACACACACAAGGTTATTTTTAAATCAAGCTCGATCATTTTTATGAGAGTGACTTTAGCCAAAATATTTTTTCTCTCAACCTCAATTTCCTCATCTGTAAAATGAGCTTTATATAATTTTATGAAATATATGATTAGGATTAAGTAAAATAACAGATGTAAAGCACCCAGCAGATTGCCTGAAAGTAATCAATAGGTATTAGCTTTTACCTAATTTGTTGTTTATGTTCAAAAATATATAGTTTTTCTATGTAAATATATGAAAAAGAAGCGAGGTCATTTTTTAGATAAAATAATTTAAGCCACAAAATCTGACCATGGTAAGCTTAAATAAGTAACATTGTTGAAGTTTGCTTCCTGGAGTAATCAGGGTTCACCCACTCTTAATTTCACTTCTAAGATTCTATTGAAAATATTCTGGCTTAATTTCTCTTTGTCAAAAGAAAAAGAGAACAGAAGGTTGGCTGTATAAAACAAACATAAGTCCCAAAGTGATAATGGGAGCAATAGACTTTAATTTTAGAGGACTACAGTAAATGGTGTCCCAGATTAACAAGAGTTTGGCAGCAGCCCTACCCATGATATTAAAACAACAATGCTTATTCAGGCAAAAAAGTATAAAATGAGTGGCGTGATTCTGAATACATATTTCCTTATGCTTTATTGTTTAAAATATATAAGTGAACATTATATCTCAGAAAAATCGATTATCATGTATTTTCCGTGATAGTTTACTAAAGAAATCTCTCCTTTGTCTACACTGCCATAGTAATCCATTTTTGTGAGCTGTAGACCAGTAGGAGTCATGCAGTACAATCATGAGTAAGAGCAGTTGGGTTCAACACTCTAGAGACAGAAATTTAAGTTAAAAAAAAAATCCAAAGCAAAAGGAATTCTCTGTAAGAAGAAAACTGTAGCTGGAACATGAACTGGGCATGCCCAACTCCTAATGCCAAACAACTGATTTCCAAACTTTTAAAGATCCTGGGAATATAGGGAAAAGATACAACAGGAAGACAAAGGAAAGACAATTAACAAAAATTGAGTGCTAGAGTCAGATACTTCCCCAAAAATAAGACCTAAGACCTACCCATAAAATAAGCCCTAGCAGGATTTCTAAGCATATGCGCAATATAAGCCCTACCCCGAAAATAAGACCTAGTGATGGGCATGGCTACGCAGCATATCTGCACAACCCATGCATTTCGTTGCTGAGCGGTAAAGAAGATGAGCAGCCCTTCTCATCTGCCCCATGAGAGCTCTACTGCTCGGTATGAAAGATTGGGGCCAATGGTTCTAAAGGAAATAGAGTCACAAGAAATTCAGGATGGAATTCGGGATTTGGAGAGTTATGATGATGTTCCAGAAGAAGATAACTTAACTATATTTGAATAAATGTAGATTGTTGTACCGTACTTAAAAGAAATAACACATTCCCTGAAAATAAGCCCTAGGGTGTCTTCTTGAGGAAAAACAAATATAAGACCCTGTCTTATTTTGGGGGAAACATGGCAATAGTACTAATAATAAATCAACCAATATATTGACAACCTTGATGTACCAGGCACTGTACTGACCAATTTATATGATTATGCAACTTAATACGTTATCATTAATATTACATTTAAACTTCACCCTCAACCCTGTTACTATGCCCATTTTTTAAATGAGAAAACTGAGGCTCAGGCATTTTAAGTAAACTTCCCAAGATTATTCAATAGCAAAACTTGACTTTAAGTCTAGTGAGTCTTACATGTCTACCTTCAAAGCACAATCTCTCCCCAACAAAGGCATACAGAGAGAAGAAAGGGCACAAGATAATGGCAAGGATGAAATCAGAAAAGAAAAATGCTATCATAAACAAATATTCCTCCATCCCGAGTCCCTTTCAATTCCTAAAGTGAACCCTGCTTGTCTCCTACTGATCCTTCTGCTTCTCACTATTCCTTCCACCCGACACTGATAGAAAACTAGTCCACTCCCTAGAAGCTCAAGTTAAAGAGCAACTAGCATAAGGACGCACATTCAATGCTCTCTTACTCATTCCAGGTTGAGGAAAGAAGACTGTGTGCTACATGAACAAGCAGCTCTCCAAATGAGCATATTTAGTAGCATTTATTTAGTAATCAAAATTTATCACAAGACCAATTGACACACAGTTGCAGAACATTAAGCATAAATGGAAAACTATGCAGATATATCAGAATAATGTATGCCATAAAGAAAAGGGCCTTGGATAATAGAACCATAAATTTTAGAATTGTAAGGGACTCTGGAGATTATTTCAACCCCTCATTGTGCACCCACTTCCCAAGCATAATTTACTCTTTTATCCACTATGCTCCTAAAAAGTCTGAGCATATACCTCTAGTGTGCAATTTATTCATTCATTCACCATCATTGCAAAAAAAAAAAAAAAGAAATGCTAGTCCTTTCTGTATACCAAGCACTTATAAAGTGCAGGAATATAAAAGAAAACAAGATAAATAAGCAAATAAAAGGTAAGATATAATATAAGGACAGACACTATGAAAAAAATAATAGAGGGTAACATAATAGAAAATGACTGGGGTTAGAGATTGAAGTAGGGGACAGAGGGTTACTTTAGATTGCATGCTCAGGACAGGCTTTTCTCAAAAGATGACATTTGAACAGAGACCTAAATGTAAAGAAAAGAATAAGTCCTTCTAACATCTGGGGAAAGAGCATTCCATAAAAAAGGAGCAATGCATGCAAAAGCCCTAAAGCTAAGCTTAGTACAGTTGAGAACCCAACAGAACCAGAGAAGACCCCATATAGCAAAATCAATCATAGGCAATAAAAACAAAATGGGAAGTATCAATTTACCATACTTCAAACTATACTACAAGGCTATAGTAATTAAAACTTCTTAGTACTGCCACAAGAACAGGGACATTGACCAGTGGAACAGAACAGAGCCCAGATATAAAACCATCCTCATATAGCCAATTAATCTTTGACAAAGCAAACAAAAACATACACTGGGGAAAACAATCCTTATTCAATAAATGGTGCTGGGAAAACTGGATAGCCACATGTAGAAGACTGAAACAGGACCCACGCCTTTTACCTCTCACAAGAATCAACTCATGCTGGGTAACAGAATTGAACCTTAGGTGTGAAACTATTAGAATTCTAGAGGAAAACACTGGAAATACTCTTCTAGACATTGGCCCAGGCAAAGAATTTATGAAGAAGACCCCAAAGGCAATCACAGCAGCAACAAAAATAAATAAATGGGACCTGATCAAATTAAAAAGCTTCTGCACAGCCAAAGAAACTGTCAAGAGAGAAACAGACAACCCAAGAATGGGAGAAAATTTTCGCAAGCCACACATCAATAAAGGGCTGACAACTAGAATTTATTTAGAACTCAGGACAATCAGCAAGGAAAAATCAAACAACCCTATCAAAAAGTGGGCAAAGGACATGAACAGAAATTTTTCAAAAGAAGACAGAATAATGGCCAATAAACATATGAAAAAATTCTCAACATCTCTCATCATCAAGGAAATGCAAATCAAAACTGCAATGAGATATCACTTATCTCCAGTAAGAATGGCCTTTATCAAAAAGTCCCCAAACAATAAATGTCGGTGTGGATGTGGAGAAAAAGGAACACTCCTACGCTGCTAGTGGGACTGCAAACTAGTTCAACCTCTGTGGAAAGCAATATGGAGATACCTTAAAGCAATACAAATAGATCTACCATTTGATCCAGCAATTCCACTACTGGGCATCTACCCAAAAGATCAAATGACACTCTACTAAAAAGACACCTGCACTCGAATGTTTATAGCAGCACAATTCACAACGGCAAAGTTGTGGAAACAACCCAAGTGCCCATCAATACATGAGTGGATTAATAAAATGTGGTATATGTATACCATGGAGTAATATTCAGCTTTAAGAAACAATGGTGATATAGCACCTCTTGTATTTTCCTGGATAGAGCTGGAACCCATTCTACTAAGTGAAGTATCTCAAGAATGGAAAAACAAGCACCACATGTACTCACCAGCGAATTGTTATTAACAGATCAACACCTAAGTGGACACACAAAAATAACATTTATCAGGTGTCAGGCAGTTGGGAGGGGGGAAGAAGGGATGGGTATACACAAACATAATGAGTGAGATATGCAACGTTTGGGGGATGATCACACCTGAAGCTCTGACTTGGCGGGGGGGGGTGCAATATATGTAACCTAAACACTTGTACCTCCATAACATGCTGAAATAAAAAAATAAAAAGACTGGAATGGAGTGAAGAGAGGATGTGGAAAAGAATAAAATTAGAGAGGTAAGCCAGAGGGCAGATCATAGAAAGAATTCAGATTTTATTCCACCATAATAAGCCGTTATATTGTTTAAAGCAGGGGTTTCAAAGCGTGATCCCTGGACAAGCTGCCTCGGCATTACCTGGGAACCTGTTAGAAATGCCAGTGCTTGCGCCCACCAGGACCTACCAAATCAGAACCTCCGGAAGCAGGACCCAGCTATCAGTGTTTTAACAAGCCTGCCAGGTGATTCTGATGCATGCTAACATTCCAGAACCATCGGCTTCAAGTAAGAAAGTGCCGTAATCTAATTTTTTAATCACTTTGCTGTAGTGAAAATACACTATTGGGTGACAAAAGTAGAAGCCACAAAACTAAGTAGAAAGGTAGACCAGAATTTCCTGGTGAGAGATGATGACATCAGTGGAGATGACCCAAAGAAGATTTATCACATGGCATGAATAAATTATTTTAGCACTCATTTTCCCAACTTGAAAGAGCTCTATGAATAAATAAATGAAAGAATGAATAGATAAATTAAGGAATAGAATAAATGTTTTAAAATGAAGTGGCTGAGGTACCAGGAGGCTATCTCACATCTTGGCAAGCAGCCCCATCAGCTACCTCCTCCCAATCCTTCCTTCCATCTGTGACCTTTGAACAGCTGCTCCCTGCATTCAAGTTTCTGTCTTGGAAGATGAAAAAAGCCTCAGAGAGCTTCTATAAGCAACCAGTATAAGAATTCAAGGAGCAGAACTATACAATCCTGGAGCTCTGATAAATAAAGCCAATTTAAAGACAGAGTTTTAAAGGAGAGGAAAAGACGATCCATGGTTGGAGATTAATCAAATTAAAAAGCTTGTAGACAGCAAAAGAAGTAATCACCAGAGCAAACAGGCAAACTACAGAATGGGAGAATATATTCACATACTACACATCCAACAAAGGACTAATATCCAGAATCTACAAAGAACCCAAACAATTCAGCAAGAAAAAACAACCTATCAAAAAGTGGGTAAAAGACATGAACAGAATTTTTTCAAAAGAAGATAGACAAATGGCCAACAAACATAAAAAAAAAGTTCAACATCACGAATCATCAGGGAAATGCACATTAAAACCATAATGCGATACCACCTTACCCCTGTCAGAATGGCCATTATTAAAACAGCAACAAAAACAGATGCTGGCATGGATGCAGGGAAATATGTATGTTTATACACTGTTGATGGGACTGCAAATTAGTACAACCTCTATGAAAAACAATATGGAGATTCCTCAAAGAGCTAAAAGTAGACCTACTATTCAATCCAGCAAGCCCACTACTGGTAACTACCCAAAGGAAAAGAAATTATTCTATCAAAAAGACACCTGCACTCAAATGTTTATCGCAGCACAATTCACAATCTCAAAGATATGGAACCAATCTAACTGCCCATCAATTCACAAGTGGATAAAGAAAATGTGATATATATATATATATATATATATACACACACACACACACACACATCATGGAGTACTACTCAGCCATATAAAGGAATGAAATAATGTCTTTTGCAGCAACTTGCATGGAACTGGAGACCATCATCCTAAGTGAAGTATCTCAGGTTTAGGGAGGGAAGGGGTGAGGGATAAAAACTTACCCATCAGGTACAATGAACACTATCCTGGCGGCAGGCACACCAAAATCCCTGACCTCAACATTATACAGTGTATCATGTAACAAAAACAGTAATACCCCCTTAATATTCTGAAAGGAAATAATAGTATGGGCTAGCTCATATTCTCTGATACCTGTCCTGATTCATCACCTCCACCCAAAACACCTAAAAGCTGAGCTACTTCAAGACAAGCCTGAGTGAGCCCAATTTCAGAGATGAGAGAAAGCATCCCCTTCCCATCCTCACCTCCCCAAACATGTGTAAAATAATGCTTGTCAGCATGTATCCCCAATTCTCAATAAAGGCATTCTGAAATCCCTTTAACTGTAAGAAACACATTCCTTTTCAGTTAGAGAAAAGAAGCCTTGAATTGTGTTTTCTTAAGTGGAACAACACGCCGGTGTGAATACTTAGTCCATGTGTCAGTGATAATTAGCTGCTCTCCTTTTTTGATTTTTGGAAAAAGAAATGAAAAGCAGAAAGGTGGAGTCCAAAAGGCAAATGAGGGAGCTGAACAAGGAAAAGGGAAGAAAGGGGAAGACAGAGTCAAGAAAGGCAAATATGGCAAAACTGCTGCCAGCAGGCCCTGTGTCTTCATCAGCATGAGTACAGATAAAGGCAGCAAGCAAAGGTACTTCAAATCCTAGAAGTCAGTCAACACTCAAGCAAAAAATATGCTACTTACACCTATTAGCATATGGATCAAGTTGGACAAGATACCTCTTTATACTGGAGTTGAATTCTCTGTTTTCTTTGTATTATACTATGTCTGCAACGATCAGAACTAGGAAAAGACCATTCAGGCAATGAACAAAGAATCACCACAGGCTATGTCTACATAGACAGAGAGAAAAGGAAAGTTGAAGCAATTAATAACAGAAGAGAACTCCATCCTACTAATGGAAAAGAGAATGTTCTTTTCATTATAGCGATACAGTTTGGTTATCTATTCTGATCACATTTATAAGAGTCCCACTCCAATTTGCTTTGAAGAGAGAGTTCAGTTTACAAATGAGAATATTTCATCAGTTATTACTTAATTTCAAAAAAGAAACAGCATTCATAATTCCAGAGAATGATTTCAGTTTGATAACCAGTACTGTCATAAGAATATTAATGATAACAATAATAAACATAAGAGCAAACAGGTATGTAGTGCTTACCACATACAATGAACTGTTCTAAGTATATTGACTAATTTAATCCAAATATCATACTTTGAAAGTATCAAATTCAATGAGAGTGATTAAGTTTTATTTTAGAATGTGTGAGGAAAGATTAATTTGACATTCTTTATCTCCATTAGGATAAACCGTTTAAAATCACTAATGGCCTCAAACTAAAAGCCATCTCATGAGTTTAAATAATATGTTTTTCCTACACTGCACTCTTGAGGATTAGTATGACAAAGTTTCAAAGCAATTCCCTTTGAAATGACAATTAACATAATCATCGAGCACTTAAAGTATATGACATTGTACTAGATAGTGGGATTATTTTTCCATTAAGTGTTCTTCCCTTCTTTTTTACGAAAAAAAAAAATCACACTAAACCCTAATAGCCAAAAATGTGGTCTTTATCCCCATGGCAATGCCTATTCACCATAAATGCTAACTGATTCCTGATAGCACTTCAAGAAGTACCAGGATTTGAATTTTGACTCCTCAAAAATTCTTAAAATCTTACAAAGATAAATCACTGTAGTATATAACAAATACTAACAAGGTAAATTTAAAATATACATTGTCTCTAATGTTGATGAATTTAAAAAGCTAGATTGCATAAGAAAGTAAATTTAGGCTTTTGTATTTTCCAATTACTTTCTGCCATAGCCAATTAAAGGTGTACCTCATACTCCTTTGGAGTTTTCTGTTTCTAAAATAGTATTACTGAAATTATCTCATTTAATCATGACATCTAATCCTTGATTTCATTATTATTACCATCATCACATTTTACAAAAGAGATAAAGTTACTTATTAACAATTCTATGAATATGATGAAATGAAAGAAAAAATATATTAAAAAACAAAAAAAACACAATTCTATGTACTGGTGAGGCCTTGAATTCCTGTCTTCTTACTTGATACCATATCACAACTATTTCAAGAAATAGGGGATAATAAAGAAAAAATATGTAGCATGTGACTCTAGCTAAACCAATACCTCTCATTGACCTGTGTTAAGTTTGTAGTGATTCCCATTAAAATTAACTTAAGGATTCTAAAATCCCAAAGTCTCTCAGTTGGTAACAATAAAACTTACCACATTTTATTTCGCAAGGCAAACTTATGAGACCTAACGGTGGAACGACAGGGTTAAAACATAGGAGGGGAAAAAAAGGAAAAGCAACACCAAAAAGGAATTTCATTCAAAAGAATTAAACACGGTAAGGCAAAGAAAATTACTCCAAGTGACCCCAGAGCCCCTACACCCCTCACACTATGAGAACATAGCCACTGTGAAATAAGGTTGACCTGGGTAGCAGAAAACCACATGTTCAACATCTATGCTTGAGTAATTACCTTTAATTTGCCCAAATAATAGCCAAAATCCATTTTTACTCACCCAATAACTTGATGCTCATAATACTGCAATGTCCTCTTGAGAGTCTGCTGTATCGTCTGAGGCTACAGAATAATAATAATAAAAAAATACATTATCAGCAAATCAGTGCCATTCCCATTCTGAACATTGTAGGCAGAGAGGTAAGATTCTGATTTATCTCATGAGAGTTTTCATTTTACAATATTAACCCATTTTGCATTGTGCCATGTATTTCCCCCACAGGAGCTAATATGAGACACTCAGCAATTACCCAGAATTTCCCAATTTCAAGTAGGATAGTATTTCCTAGCCATATTTTTGTTCAATTCTTTTATACCAGCTATTAGGTTCAATAAAATACTCACTGCCTGCCTACAATAAACCTAGGCCTTGGGGGTGGTGGGGAGGGTGCACTGGAGAAACATGGGTCATAGTTCTTCCTTTCCAGCTGTATAACCTCAACGAGGTAATGGCCAACAGAAATGAAATGACATACCTTAATATTTTCTTTGATGTTTTAACAAGGCTTTCAAGGATGATCTAGCCAGCAACAATAAATTTAGTTAAAATAGTCACCTTTGTAATGAGAGATGTTTTTAAACTTAGATGATCTTTCTTTTTTGCCTATTGGTTCTATATCTGAGGGCACAAATAGGAAGGCAAAAATAGGGTTGGAAGCAGGCAGTCCAGGGCCCCAAAGCCATCACTTCCACCAGAAGTTAGCCTAATTTCCTCAACATCTCAAGAGATTTCAAGCAAGGGTCCTTTCTAAAGCCTCCTAGATGGGTCACAAGTGCTTTGGGCAAAAAGAGAAAAAAAAAAATGTGGTCTGTAGCAAATACCTAAGCAGCTCATGACTGAATTTCATAATCCTCTCTTCCCTGTGATGGTTCAAGACAAAGTTTCTTAATCTCAGATCCAGAAATTATTCTTAGACCTATTTAGGCAGCAGAGCCTGAACTTGGAGTTGGAGGCTTAGAGAGGGACACCAAGATCCCAGAATATAAATGTTATTAAGAAGTTATAAGAAGAACCAAATTCTCAGTGGCAAGAGTGAATTTTTTACATAATAAAAACCTGTAGACAACCAAGCAGTAAAAAAGTAGTTGAATGTTGATCAAAACATTGATCCATTATAGCCAAGGACGAACTTTAGGGAAATGCCATGACTGCAACACAAACCCTTCCAGATGTGGGGCAGCACCGTAGCTTGGTAATCTCACAGGCTGCTACTGATGAACTGCACAGTAGCACAGGCTGCTACTGATCAACTAGTACCTCTAAAAAGGTAATCTGCAGAAAAAGTCCAGTATGGTGCTAGTACCTAAGAAGCAGTTAATAAATATCAATTTCCAACCCCTAATTCTTCAAAGTGCCTGTCTCAAAAGTATATCATGCAAAGGAGACTCCAGAGGTCTACACCAAATTTTATTTCAACCTATTCCATATTCACCTCTTTACAAAAAACATCCAGAATTCATGTAACAATCTGCCTACCTAACACTCTTAAACTTTTAACATCCTCCTTGGCAGGCAATGGTTATCTTACAGCTAGAGGAAAGTGATCTTAAATTACATCAGGGGCATACACTGAGATTTACCCTACACTAACTACCATGTAAGAGAACCCTTTCTGGGCACAGGCCTCAGACATACACTTCACACTAGCCCAACCAATTCACAAATTCATTTTAGGAATAGTCAGCCTCCCAGTGTTCAAAGAGATACAGGACAACTTCTTTCAGCAGCTGTTTTTCCTTTATATCAGGTTAAAAAGACAAACAAGAGACTTCAAACTGGCACAGATGTTTCTGCTCTTCTGGATAAAATCAAAGCAGAGTAAAATGAATGCACCTAAGAAAGAAAAATCTTTGGAGTGGTTGAGAAATCTAAAGAGAATGAAGCAGACCCAGCAGTCCTAGTACATATAAAAAGTGTGCTTTAACAACCCAACCCATGGCCAATCTAAGCCAAATCATTATCAGTCACTGGCTCAGTACCCCTTGGGATCTGGGCCTGTTGCACTAGCTCGGCAGTTTCTGAGCAAAGATAACTTTCCCTTTGGCAACAGCCTCTCAAAGCAGTGAATATCCACAGAGGGATTATCCTTCCAATAACCTCTGGTCAAAAAACATGGAAACAGAAAGCAGGAACTGGAGTGCACAGGGCCAGTTAAGACCAGAATGACCTCATTTGTACAAAAGGACAATTTTTTCTTGTACCAAGATTTTCCCAGTCATTAAAAAGCACATGTTTGTGAAAGGAGTTAAGCCTTTTAAAGAGCTGACTTTTTTCTTGTGTGAAGCAATTATTTCCACTCCCAGCAGGAGTTAAATTTATAGTTTCCAAATACATTAAAAGAAAATGTTCTCTGGGCACATCCAACAAAACTTCAAGTTAGTAAAGCATTTGGACACTTCTGTGGCTTGCCAAAGGTAGTGGGTACGTTCTAATGGCCCAGACCACAAGCACAGGGACTGCCTGTAGAGCATCTCCTGATCTTCTGCAAGCCAAGGCTGACTTCAACACAGAATGCCATGTGGCCATGGATTCACTACAGTCTTCAGAGTTCACCTGATGGCCTCAACCTATGGCCTTATCAGTGAGAGACATCTTCCACAAAATCTCTGTCTCACTGACCTGAATAAAAAGCATGAAGTGAAGACTCACAAATGGTCCAAAGTCTTCCATTGGGTGACTTCTGCCTTGGGGATGGGATGGTCCATCTCCTTGACAAACCTTTACTAAGTGCACGTGTATGCCAGTGATGCAAGTCAGTGTAGGTCAGTGGGAAACGGATAAGGGCTTTGAAGGCACACAGATTTTCTACCCTCTTCTTTAAGAATCCAGCTTCCTACCTGTCCCCTACTTAAGAGTACCATCCAACCTTCTACAGGTAAGATTGCATTCCTCTTTGTGTATCCATCCTTTCCCTTAAGGAGATTAAAAAGATGATTTAAGAAAGAGGCTTTAAGATCACACTGAGTTCAAAATCAAGCTCTATGACTCACTAGCTAGATGACCTTGGGCAATTTACTTAAGCTCCCTGAAGTAAGATTCCTTATGTGAACTTTATTTTTATGGGAATAAATTTAAATAATTAAAGCAAAGTCTCTGGTGCATAGCAGGTGCATAATAAATGATAGTTATAGCTATGGCAAGCTGAAAAACATGGTTCCTACACTCAAGAATCTTATAATTCTAGTGAAGGAGCACAGGTTTAGGTTAGAAAACCCATTCTACAAGTGTAATGTTTCAACATCCTCATCACCTAAAAAATAAAAAAATAAAAAAATCACTAAAGCTACCAATACTTCTAATAATGAGAAACCGGTGCCAATTCCAGTAGACAGAGGGAAAATTAGGAAGATGGCAGCTAAATTTATAAATATTTCTAATGAAACATTAAGATGAGTCCAGATCTTACTGATCTTTAATGGTGACAAAAGCAGAATTCTCAAAATTAAGACTGAGGATAGATCTGAAGCCAGGCCTACAAATGGGAAGGATATTGAAGCACCATAGCTAAGGTCTAGACCCCAGGCATTATGCTTCACAACTACTAAGAAACAACCCATGAACCACCTTCCTTGGACACAAAGAATTTACAACAGGAGAGCTGCGTGGCCTAATAATTTTATAGCTCTATATCCTTGAGGCTCCAAGAGACAAGAGTGGGAAAGGAGACAGAATTCACTGTTCTATCATAAAAAGAAAATTAAATAGGTCTGTGATTTTTCTGTCCTTTCCTCAAACTAAAATATAGATAGTGGACTCCTATTGTCCCAACTCAACACAGAGAAGAAATGGATAGGGAGACATCTGTGTCCTGCACACTTATTTTATGGGGCTCAAAGACAGGGTTCCCTAAAGCTCCCATCCATGTAACAACAAGAAGCCATCTTCATCTCTATTCTCATTAACAGCTTCACTGCACTTGGCTAGCAGTGACTGACCCCCACCGACTAACCGTTATGCTCATGAAAGGTCGTGGGATCCAAACAGCCAGCCACGAAACAGTCCCAACAGAGCCAGAGAAACGATCCCTGAAGAGTGGGAGGAAGCAGTTCTCAGCAGCTGGCCCTGCAGGCTCAGACAGTCCTGCTGAGGCTCCCACACAGTCCCTGCCCTGGATATCCGTGCCAGATGGTGCGGGGATCAGGCAGGAGGCAGAGAGTCAAGATGTGTGTGTGTGTGTGCAGCACGAAACGCAGTTGTCATCGCACAAAATACACGCGCATCTCCATTTGACAGAGATAAAGAGGCTGAGGCTCAGGGAGGTTAAGTAAGTACCACAAGATCACACAGCCAGTTAAGTGAATAAGTCACTGCAAGCCAGGACTGGCTTCAAAGTGTGTCCTCTTCCCACTAGATGCCTTTGAGGGTCCCTCCCACCTTTCACATTTCAAATAAGGATGATTCTAATATCCCTATTTAATACACACAGCACTTCGTCATACCAAAAAATAAGAATAAAGCCATAGATAGTTTAAAAACAAACTTCTCATTTCTGCTTAGTGCACATACCCTCAAGATACAGATTTAATGGAAAAAAGAAGTCTGCCTTTCGAAAAAAATCCATAAAGAGTCTTATCATTTTATTTATTTAAATATGAGAAAAGTATCTATTAAGGCCAGAAATTAAGTGCTATAAGATATAAATTTAATTATTAATGCTCGAGGTCAGTGGTTTTCAACTCTGTCTGCCCATCAAAATCACCTGGGGAATCTTCTTAAAAATTACCAATGCCTGAGTTCTACCCCCAGATTTTCCAACTAACTGGCCTGGGGGGACCCAGTTACTTCTAATATGCAGTCATGGTTGAAACTTTTTATGTAAGGTATAAACATGATGAATAAGACCAATCCACTATAAACCTTATCTGAACAAGTCAGTATTAATGATACTTGAATCTCTATATTCAAATATCAAGAGAAGTAAGTTCTGAGAGATGTTCACTCATAACTGCTTAATTCAAACATAGCCCCATTTATTAACTGTCACTAATGGCTTATAATTAAATATGAATTTGATAAACAAAACACTATATTGCTTGAAGCATAGAGGCTTTTTAAAAAATTT